TATTCATAAGGTTTTACCTGGCCAATTCTTTGAGAAGTGGACGGCCTCTTCCTTCTTCCTAGTCTGTCTCAGTCTATCAGCTGGGCTGTTACCTGTGCACCAGGTGCATTTCGCTGGGTTTTAAACACCAGAGGCTCAGGCTCAAAACTCACCTCTACATGTCACCACAGTAGGATAAACCAACAGACAATTTGTCTTGCTGTTGGAAACCTCTCGTATCACTCCCACCTGGGTCCCTGTGGCTGACTGTTCCTCTGTCTGGCTTCCTGGCTTTTAATTCCCTTTCTCCTGCTTTTCTGGCCTGCTGCTTTGGGCATCCCTGAGTTGTCTCTCCTCACCTGTATCCTTGGGGCATATATGTATGTATGTATACATATATGGGAGCTCTGGTGGTGTAGTGTGTAAGGCACTTGACTGCTAACCAAAAGGCTGGCGGTTCAAACCCACCAGCCTCTCCTCAGACGGAAGGTTGGGCAATCTATTTCCGTAGTGATACTGTCACGGAAACCCAAGGAGGGGTCGCTATGAGTCGGGTCTGACTCGATGGCACATGAAAACAACAACAACAACACATGTATATATATGTTTATATACACACATACATACATACATACATATATATATATATATATATATGTTTATATGTATACATATATACACACACACACACATATCCCTAAACCAAACAAACCAAAATCACTGCCATCAAGTTAATACTGACTCATAGTGAACCCCTTTGGGTTTCTGAAGTGGTAAATCTTTACAGAAGTAGATTGCTCATTCTTCCTTCTGTGCCGTGGCTGGTGGTTTTGAACCACCAACCTCTGTTTAGCAGTCAAATGCCTTAGGCACTACACCACCACAGCTCTTTATACATATTCTAGAGTATTTTAAAATAATTTGATTACAGTTAATACTAAAAGAAAAAAGAAAAACCACTTTATATTGGGATATAGAATAGAAATTTCTCTCTTACTTGCATTTTGTGTTGTGGGGAGGTGGAGTCTAGGACATCCCATGGAGCCACATCATATGTCAATGCTAATGCTAAATGTTCTAGTACAAAACTGATGACAAAATCCTAGTCTAGTGTTAATGAAATCAACAAAAATATAAAAATAATTCAGTGGAATCTTGAACTAAATAACCTTTAGCAAATCAGTAATAAAAAGTGACAATGTAACCAAAATAAAAATCTAGGAATTTGAGATCAACATTTTTAATCCATGTACATCACTTTATGGAAACTTTTTACAACAGAGATTTTAAAATGCAAATTGTTAACAGCTTATCTTGATCCCAAAATATTGTATCATATTTCCTGTCTGGCATTAAGTACAAGATACAAACACAACAACTGTTATACTCTATGCAATAATTTCTTCTTTGTAATAAGATATCAGAGCACAAATAATGTATCAGTACCCTTAGGTCTAGAAATCATCTTGAATGTAATATTAAATCAAATCAAAGCAGGAGTGGAAGGCAATTATTTCTACTTTTATCCTACTAAGAAGTTTGCCAAATTAAGGTTTGAAGAATAGTCTCTTTTATGTCCCATCACAACAAAATAAATTTCTAAGGCAATGTTCTCCCGGTGTACAAAAACCAACCAAAGAAACTTCAAAAACAAACAGTAACCACAGTATCTATAATCCAAACTACTTTTAAACACTGGTTGTTTATTGTTATTGTTGTTGTTTGTTTTTTATCTTCCAATACTCTCTGGGTATTTAAATTACAATCACATGCAAAGTTCACATCAAAAATATTTAATGCAATTGTGCTGCACACAAGAGTAGACAAACTTCCCTGACAAAAGAGATGACTAATTAAGAATTAGGTACTATTAGATTAATGGGAAGGCAAACAGTTACAAGTGATTTCACTTTACTTTTCTAACCAACCATCCATCAATAAACTAAAAGAAAGATACATACATTGAAAATTTAAAGGAAAGCACTTTAAAGATATTCTTTTTAAAATATGAATGTTTCATGAGCATCTATATCCTTAGAGAATATTAGGAGTGGTTACACCTTTCTGGGGGTGTGCAGCTCTTTTCCAAATTGTAAAAGAACTTATCTATGAGACTTCATTAGCCTAATTCCAAACTAATTTTTATAGCAAACAAATATTTGTTGTATTGTGAATCTCTCTGTTTGCTTGTTTTATGTTTATGGGGCATTAAGCATACAACTCAAAGTAACCACTTCCTTTTATTGCCTATATTGGGTTGAATCATGTGAAAACACTGGTAACAGACCATTTTTGCCTACAAAAGGCAATTTCACATGATTCAATTTCACATTATTCCCTATGCAGATAACTGTACTTTTTAACTTTATTCTGCTTTGCAACATGACAACTATAAACTTGGCTAGGTGTTTACACAGAATTGTCCCCGGAAGTCTTACACACACACCATATTCCTTGAATTAGGGAACTATAACAGGGACTTGGCACCTCTAGATTACCCCAGGGACAGACACCCTGCTGTTATTTGCTAAGGGGCAGTTACACCCACCTCCACATCACATTGTCTATAGAGACTCTGGATGCCTCAGGTCATGAGGCTTTGCAAAGCTTGAAGAGTACTGGCAGAGGACTCTCAAAGGACAGACCAAACTTAGATAACTGTGATATCTTCTAGGCCAGGAACACCCAATGTTAGTCTACAGACTACTTCACAAGGAGGTACAACATATCATAAACTATCTACTTTTTTGGTTCCCTTCTCACTCACCATAAGGGGGAAAAAGCCCAATTGAGCTTAATCTGTCAGTTTCAACAGCATGCCTTTAATTCATTCATTCAGCATAAATAGATTGAGCACCTACTATAAACCAGGCATTGAGGCAAGAATTAGATGGTTTAGTTAATTTTTATTCCTGTAAATCAGTCATTAATACAGAAATGCTGACAGGGTTATTTTATGAACATTCTAAGAGAAGACCACAGACCAGCTTGACATTCTAGTTGTCCAATGATTCCTGTATTTCCTTTTGAAAATAAAACACTTGGTTGCCCTCCAGCTGATTTCTTGTCATGGGAACTTCTCATGAAAGATCTAAGAATATTCTCTGCTATGGGATCAATACTGAAAGTACCCTTTGGTAATTAGAGTCCTTTCTGGTAATTAGAGTGTTTGAAATGTTGTAACACCAGCCTTTTGTGTTTCTGGTTGTTTGTTTCATTTTTGTTTTTTTATTTTGACACATATTAACAATTTACCAAAAACATTTAACTAAACTCACACCATCCCAGCAGTTTTGTCCAACATAATGCCATTCTTCCCATCTGTTTTTATGACTAGTTATGCACTAACTAGAAGTAAGTTTAGTATCTTTGAAAGGCAATTAGCAAAGCAGGAAATGTGTTCTGTGACCACAAGTGGAATATCACCTGATGGCACCTTCATAGGTCCTGAGATAGAAGAGTATGGATTAGCCCAAGTTTCAGGGTCTTAAAGGTAAAGGCCTTTTTTTTTTTTGCAATCAATACTGCATATACCTTGTGGCTATTTAGAAACACTATAAATATTACTTTCTTCACGAGGTTTTTTTTCTATGCTAAAATGTTAGGCTACTTAGCCCATATTTTATTGCTTTCCCTATACATCTTTTTTTTTTTTTAAGGAGCTCTGGTACTGTAGTGCCTAAGGCACTTGACTGCTAACCAGAAGACTGGCAGTTCAAACCCACCAGCCATTTCCCAGAAGGAAGGTTGGGCAATCTACTTCCATAGTGATACTGCCTCGGGAACCCAAGGAGGGGTCGCTATGAGTCGGGTCCGACTCGATGGTACATAACAACAAACAACAACATACATCTTTTAAGGAAAATGGATTCTGCCAAATAATTAAATAGTACATAAACATCAAAGAAAACTTACAGTGGTAGAATCAAAAGAAAGGATGTCCACAACAGGGGGATTAGAAGTCTGCAAATCGATTACCTCTAGCTTTGGGTTAATCTGTATACATGTGAAAAAAAGTAATATTAGATTTTTATACCACAAGAAACAGGATGTTATTTGTGAAAAACTAAGAATATTTCATAATGTGATATGTAATTAAAATATATTGGTATATTTATGAAAAAAAGGTGTAAAACTTTCAACCAAAATATTTAGCATCCCAAATCTACCAAATCAATCAATCACAACAAAGCTTAATTTATAATACAAATAAAAGTTTGCTTTCATATTAGAAAATCAATGTGATTCACTTATAAAGAGATTTTAATAATAAAATAAAACGACCAACCCGAAAGGATGCAGGAAAAAATCCTAGCCATTTTATTAAGACAAGAAAAGGAAATAAAGAGTATAAGAAATAAAGGTGTAAGAACTGGAAAGAAAGAAATCAAATTGTCATTCACACAGAGTATGATTCTCTCTGGGGAAAATGCAAAACAATCTATTGTTAAATCATTAGAGCTATTACGAGAGTTAACAAGATTGCTAAATATGAAATAGATACATGAAATCAACTGCATTTCCACACTCCAGCACACAGTTAGAAAATGTATTTTTTAAAATGACACCATTCAGCCAAACAACAGACAGCCCTACGAGCTGACCACCTACACCACAGAGATCCACAGCTTAGAACAATCAACCACGGGAGATCAGAAGGGTCGCATTTGCACAGGGAGAAAGGTAGGGACGCAGAAATGCACAGCCAAGAAGGACACAGGGAAAGAGTGACCACAGGGAGAACTGGGAGGCCAGAAAATATAATCAGTGTCACAAAATAAAACACGTATGAACTATTGAATGTAAAACAAATCTGCTTTGTAAAATGTCTCTCAAATCACAATGAAGAGTAAGAAATAACACCATTTGCAATACCATAAAAATTTAAACTACATCAGAATATAAAAATATGTATAAGACTTCCATGGAGAAAATAATAAAGCTCATGTAAATACATTAAAGAAAGACTGAATAGAAAGCTACACCATAATGAGCTTAGAAATAGAGCTCTGTATATATAGAAAATAAACGTAAGACTAAAATGGTACCCCACATCAATACAGCAAGGATGATCTGAGGTTGAGAAAATGGATTCACTGTATGGATCTCTTCGAATACTACACGCAAAGGTAGACAGCAGATAAATGAGAAAACTAAATGTTAAAATATAAAGGTAATAGAAGAAAATGTACATCTCTGGAACCTGGAGTTGAGAAGGGCATCTTAAAAACTTCAAAAGCAAAACCAAAAGGCATTAAAAAGAAAAAAAGATGCACTGATTATACCAATTCAGTAGTTCTGTGTCTCAATGGATGTCACACAGTTAATAATCCAATTACAGAACAGGAGGAGATATTATGGTATCTAAAACTGGAAAAGGAGAAATGTATAAGAAAATAGATAAATAAACCTATGAAATATATAGGAAATATAAAATATATTTAAAAAAAAAATTATAAATCAATATGAAAAGGGCAGGAACCCCAAGGAAAGAGAAACCCTAAAAGCTAACCAGCTTGTGAAAAGATGTTCAGATATATTACTAATGAGGAAAAGGAAAATTAAAGCAAAATACTACTTCACACCTATTAGATTACAAAAATTACAATGTTCAGTGATGCCAATATTGTTCACAGTAGCGTTGTTTGTAATGGCCAAAACAAAACAAAGCCCAAAGCCCAAACTGGCAATACTCCAAATGTCTATCAAGAGTAGACTAAAAAAACTAACTAACTAACTCACTGCCATCAAGTCAATTCTGACTCACTGCGACCCCTATAGGCTTTCTGAGATGGTGAATCTTTACAGAAGTAGATTGGCCCATCTTCCTTCTGCAGAGTGGCTGGTGGGTTTGAACCACCAACCATCTGGTTAACAGTCAAATGGCTTAGGCACTGCAACAACAGAGCTCCCAAGAGTAGACTACATACATAAATTATAGGAATTAGTACTGTGGTAAATTCACTGGCATACTGTTTGGCAAAGACAATGAATGAAATACAACTATGTGCAACATGAATGAATCTCAGGATTTAATGTTAAATGAAAAAGCAAGTTATAGAAAAATATACTCAATGATTCCATTTATGAAAAACAAAGATCAAAACCATTCAAAAGTAAACAATATCTGTATTATAGATTCAAGCATATATAGTAAAATTACAAAGAAAATCAAGGAAATGATTAGAGTGTTGACGACTTCTGAGGAAAGTTATTTCAGAATTCAAAGATAAAATAGTAACTGATACTACACCACCACTACTGAATAGTTATTAAGCATCATGGATCCAAAGAAATAAATGACATTTCTGGCTATCATACTTGCAATCTGTTTCTCAAACAAAACATAATTATAATAAAAGGGAAAAAGATAGAACTTCATATCAAATGAATGGTATTAGCAGTAAATAACAAAAGCACCTCAAAGGAACTGATGACTGAGCATTTAAACAGTGAGAAAGGCAACCTATTGAGGAAGCAGAGCTTTAAGATGGCTCCTTAAAAAAAAAAAAAAAAGAGAGACTGAGGTAAACTGAAGAAGAGCATTCCTGAGCAGATGCAGAAGCTGACAAGATACTTTTACAACTGGGTAACAGGAGACAATTAAAGAGGTTGACAGGGGTCAAATTGTGAGGAGTGAAGGAATTTGGAAAGGTACAGAAAAATTACAGGCTAAAATGTGTTTTAAAAACAGTCACTTGGCAGAGACATGTATTGTCTCCAGAAAAAATAAGGAAGGGGCAAGGTTGTGGTGGCTTCCTGGCCATAGCCAACTACCTTGAGGGAGCGAGTAGTTGGACCTCTGGGCTTGGAACCCTGGTTTTGGAACTCTGGTAGCAGGGGCCATCTAGTTCAATTAGCATACAATACTAGGAAGATGGGGCAATCTACTTCTGTAGTCATACTGCCTCGGAAACCCAAGGAGGGGTCGCTATGAGTTGGGTCTGACTTGACGGCAAACAACAACAACAACAACAACTACACAAAAACAATGTTCTACATCCTACTTTGGTGAGTAGTGACCAGGACCTTAAAAGCTTGCAAGCGGCCAGCTAGATGAAACGATGAGTCTCTCCTTGTCTAGAGCAAAGAACAACGTAGGAAATCAAAGATGCATGGAAACAATTAGTCCAAGGGACTGGCAGACCATGTGATCCTCAGCCTATATGACCATGACACCAGAAAACCTAAGTGATACCCGGCTACCTGTCAACCGCTTGGCAAGGGATCAGTGCAGGAGATCCTGGATAGAGTGGGAGAACAATGTGGAACAAAACTAAAAAATCATTTAAAAAAAACAAGACCAGATTTGCTGGTCAGATAGAGCCTGGTGAAACCCCTGAGACTATGGCCGCTAGCCACCCTTCAGGTCTGGAACTGAACTTATCCTGTTGCTTTCAGCCAAACAATAGACAGGAATATGGGGTGAGCAATTGCATCAGGTAGATACACCCCTTGGAGCGATCAACCATGGGAGAACAGAAGTGCAGTGTTTACACAGGGAGATAGTTCAGGGGTTGGAAGTGCATGGGAGGGAAGGACACAGGGAAGAGGTTAACTATAGGGACCAAGTGGGAAGAGAACTGTTACATTACAGGGAATTGCAGTCAATGTCACAAGACAAAATGTGTATGGGCTGCAAAAAAAAAAAAAGAGAAGAATAAACAAGGGATAACAGGCCACCACTACAATAGTCCAGGAGGGTGCTGATAAGGACAGCCCTTAGGTGTTAAGAGGGGTAGAATAATTTTAAACACTTATCATGTTTGATGGTTGCAGATGTAATTTTAGAAACAGTAAGATCATTTCATACTTATCCAGAACATTGCGTTAGAGGGAGAGATGTATATGCGCAGCAATCAACATGTTAAATTAAAGAAGGAATAAGCTGGTCAGGGTGAGAGCAAGTAGCTCAGCTCAACCAGCCAATGACTTTTATGTCTTTCTGGTTGCTCCACAGCAACCAGAGGGA